CCCAAAAAAATTCAAAATTATCTATGAAAAATATGAGCGCATTGTGACGCAACCGTATCATTCGTATTCGAACAGCAACCGCATCATTCGTATTCGCATAGAAACCGCATCATTCGTATTCGTATAGCAATCGCATCATTTGTACTCGAACAAACCGCATCGTACGACAGATGCGAGTAACGAACAGATGCGAGTAACGAAATGAATTTGTGAGTACCAATCGGTACTTCGAGTCAACCGATGTACCCGTTACTCAGTAACGAATACATGCGGTTTGCTCCAGCTCTAGTCAGCGAAACAATCGCATTGATAGATGTTTGGGGATGTGTTAGCATCCCCCAAAAAATTAGATAGAACTGTACAAAATACGGAAATTATAGACAAATACAGACAAGGTTATCTGATGCTAGGTATTCCAGAAATATCGTTCAAATTAAAACTAAAGTTAAGACAAGTGCATATCGGTTTCAACTCGACAAGGGACTCGGTACCTTTTGAATGACTTTTAAAAAAAAAAAAAAAAAAAAAAAAAAAAAAAAAGCATTTTTATGTACTTTTTGTGAATATTATTAAATGGATTTTGTGAAACAAAATAATTTTAAGCTGAGGAAAAAATTTTTGCCTAGTAATTTTTTTTTTTAAATTTTAAATTTTTTAACTTCTGGAAGAAAATTTTACAATTAAAATGTGTTTCATTCTCCTACAATTTTTCAATGATTCTCTCCCTCATATTTTTTATTGTATTTATTAGAGTGTTCTTAATAACTTCAAGGAATGATTTTGCAATTAAAGAATATGTTTCTGAAAAAAAAATAAAAATACACTTTTATCTAAAATCTTTAAAACAAATATGATGTCAGTCACATTTTCATTTCAAATAATTTTTCCTTTCAGTATTTTGCAAAACCCATCCTTGTTTCTATAAAGTATATAATTAAATAAGCAGTAAAAATAATAAATAATTTAGTCCATACCTGTATATGTGTTTTAGGACTTTAAGTAAAAGGATTTATTGAAAAAAATGCAAGAGGTTTCTCAGTTTGCATTTGCAGTTTAAAGAATACAAACTGTCTAAATAGACATTTAATCATTTCAAATCTTTAAAATTTTATTACTGAATTTCAATACACACGCATATATTTATGTTTGCATGTTTATGTTAACACCACTGTGAAGTCTATAACAGTATGCCCAGCTAGATGTATTTTATAAATAATATGTTTCAAAGTAATTTACAAATTCAATAGTGTCAGGATCTTCTTTAAGTAATTTTATTGCTGCTTCTGTCAGTGTATGAAAAGTATGAATGTCTTGTTCTTCTAAGAGAGATCTAATAATTTTATATGTTTTTGCCTGTTTTTCAACACCATTGATTTTCTTTTTTTTTTTAAATTGTTTGTCCAGGCTCTACCAATATGCCATGCACAAAAAAGACGTTTCTGTAGTAAACCCATTTCAGACATAAATATTTGTGGTTATATTTGCCCAACAGTTCTTTAATACATGAAAAAAAAAAAAAAAATGATAGCACTGGCTGATCACATGGATTAGAAATTAAAAATGCACACGGGAATCCTTGGCACAAATCATCTATTGTAAGTAAAGTTACGAGTTCAAATCTGTATGCATTCACCCCATGTGTACCATCAATACATATACAAGTTAGAACTAAATTTTTTCAGTATCTCTGTGCTTCTGTCATCATTATCAAAACAAAATCATTTCCTTTTAGAAATGAATATTGTGTACAATATTCACTCATGCTATGTTGATTCCTGGGTTTTATAAAATGAAATGCATGGATGTTCAGAATTTTGCATTTCAGGTACCCACATATCTACACAAACCAAATCATTTTCATGTTTAACAGAATTAGAAGACAAATTGAAAGATTTTTTGATGTTATGTAAATCTTGTTTTGTAAGTAAATGAACCTTCTCAAGCCCAGCATCTCATAGAGAATTTCTAATTTCATCTAAAATATTATCCAGAGAAATTTTTGCTGCTATCTTTGATGCAATATTTTTTATTTCGTCTGTTGTTAAAAATAAGTGACCTAAATCATTCCGATGCCCAATATGTATTTTCTGATATGTGTGTGTGTGTGAGATTATGGCAAAGCCTTGAGGGCTATCTGCCTAAGGGGAGGGATGCTTCGTGGAGCACTTTCGGTTTAATCCCAGTATCCGGTGCACACGGGATTTGGCTACTTTTGGTGACTTTATGATAAGCAGTAAAAACGGGACATATACGATGAGTAGTTAACGGGTCATTCAAAGAAAATATACAGTTAAACATAGTATATACTATTTATATAGTATATATAGTATGTGTGTATAGTATATATATAGACGTTCTTTGGATCATTTTTGGTGTTGGCGATAATTTTCAAAGTCGCGCCAAAGCTGCACCGTATACTAGGATTTTACCGCACTTTCCAAGGGAAACTGGTTCGTATACACGTTACACATGGGGAAAACCATGAAAACGCCCATGCAGCCAGTCCGTTCGCGGGATTCGAACCTCGGACCGAACTACCAGTGTTCAGCGACTTTACCGGTCGGCCGCTGGCGGGCCCTATTTTTCTGATATGACACTACACATTTGCCATCTGTATGTTCTGTTACTTTTAATTCAGCTGGGCAATATGCATTTATTTTATTGCTATCAATGATTTTTAAGTGACGCAAACCTTTACTTTCTGATATAAAATTTCCTGAACAGTGGCATTACACCATGTATATTAAATATGCTTACTCCATAAGAAATTTTGACTTCGTATTATTTTCAATTTCTGCCTTCTATGCCAAAAAATCATCAAATGAATTAATTTCCAGCTCAGTATGATTCAAATCAACATCATGAACATTATTGAAATGAAATATTATTTCTCGCTTTTCAAAATTAGCATAACATACAGGACACACAAAATTACCTGTTAGAAGTATGAATTTTATTTTGATGATATTTCCAATTTTTTAGGTCACTAAATTTCAGATAGCAGTCCTCACATTTGTAGCTTGGGATAGACCACTTTTTAAAGAATAAATAATGTAGTATTATTAGAGTGTAATGTGTTGGTATGGCGTTTCAAACTGCATTTATTTTGGTACGTTTTTAAGCAATCAGAGCATAAAAAATTATTCTCAGCCACACTAAAATTATTTGCACAATCAACCATACTATTAGAACTTAGTTTTCAGAGACTCAATTAATGTAATATTATTGTAATGAAATTTATATGCATGGCGTTTCAAATTGTATCTATAGTTGAAAATTTTAAGCAATCACAGCAAACAAAATTACTCTCAGCTATACTAAAATCATTTGCACAATGAACCATATCACTCGCAACACAATCAGAATTATCAGACATACCACAATTGGTATTATCGCACACGGTTATTCCTTCCTGATTTTGATTCGATTTAGAATCAAAAACACCTACTGAGGAAACAGAAGTATTTGGCCCTGAAATGGGCAGTTTTTCTTGATTTTGTGCAGAAGATATAATAATCGAAGCAAAATAAAAAAAAAGAGAACTGTATCAGCGATTACACGCTACCACAGCAGTCAAAGAGCAGAGTAAATAATAGTAAATACGAGGCGCCTTCAGGAAAATGACGACTTGCGCAGTAACCTGCGCAGATGTTCAGGGAGGAACCAGGAGGAAACTAGCGTCTGAGGGGCTAGACGCTTGTATATCCCGATCTGCTGCTACGGATAATCCCTTAGTAGGGAAAGAGTAACACGCTGTCTTCCTAGAAGAAGTACGTCATCGGATGACAACCATAACATGGTGTACCATAATAAGCAGTTTCTCCCCGTTTTGGCGTTAAGGCTGTCCTCCGAACCTTATCCCAAAATAATTCCTCAGTATCTTGCCTTAATTTTTATTTTGTTTACTAAGTTCCAAATATTTCTTTATAGAGATAGTTTCATAGATAGTTTATTCAGTTCAAGTGAGCAAAATAATTTAAATTCTTTAGTTTATTGAGCTTTATTTTAGCCATTGCGGACATATCAGGGTATTTACTTATTATCCCGTCGACCAGCAAAGTAGTGTCACCAATTATGGATGACCGTAGAATCCTACAGGGATATCGGAGAACAAACAGCCTTGGTTGCGCCAACTTGGCTCCTTAAAGGTAGAGCTACTAGAGACTTAAAGGTAGAGCCTTTATAGTAGCCTTTCTTAAAGGATAAGGCTCGTCTAGATATATAGGAGCCTTATTAAAGGATATTCTAGTAGCTCTACCTACTTTAAGGCCTTACTTAAAGGATATGGGCGACATTTCATTATGCCAACTGAAGTAAATATCATGTGAGGAAGAAAAGTTGGATGAGTTTGTATTTGTTTGGCAACTGATTGCTGTTATGTTGCCAAATTAGCATTAAAAGTCAAGTAATGTGCATTTATGACACAAACGCAGGGCAATTACTTTTGTATCCGATTTCTTATATGTATTGATATATCACATTCCTGCTCATATGATCTACATATATATCAGATAACTAGCTACATTAGCTAATCAACGAAAGGCTTTGCCGAAATTGCTGCCAAGGTCAACAGGATCCTATATAAGTTATGATATTATAAGAAGTATGCGATCCAAAACTTCTTTAACCATTTTCTGATAAAAACTAGTATTTTACATCATTATATTTGCTTCTGTTAAAAGTGCACTTTTATTAACAACATTTAAATTCGTTTCTAGATAACTAGATTAAACAGTTTTGTTAGTTATTTCTTTCAAATAAGTTTATAAATACAAGAGCCTTTTTTTTTTTTTTTTTTTTAACAATCTGCACACGGTCCATACTTTTTAACACAATCTCAACGTGTATTCAGAATAAATTTAAAATGTTTAATCTTCTCGTTGTTTAAAAAGGTAATTTTAGGTAAAAAGATTTCTCAGAATAAAGTATTACCTATACATAAAATTTTTCCGTACTGTAAGTTTAGCAGAAGCTTAGCTTTGATAAACCTTGGCGGGAGCTGTGCTTGTCACTTATTCAGATAAAAAATGTTTATGCTGTATATTATTTGACCTTTATTTTATTTTATATTTCAAACAAATAAAAAAAAAAGATATATCTCAAACACTTGTGCCCTTATTAATATCGTCATCATTCATTGTACTTTAATTTTTCCCACGATACGGAAGCTCTGTTTGTTTCTAGGTCAATAAGTTTCTTCCTGGCCTCGTCACCAGCAGGGATGTACTATAATTTGACATATCTTGGGTTCTGTATGTTGTTTTACTGCTATTCTTAAAGAATTAAGTGATATATGAGATTGTTAATTTGTAAGAATTATGGTGATAAATTATATATAATTTGATTTTTTATGTTAATTTTTATTCTTAATCCGTAAGAATTCTGTTGCATTATTATATATAATTGATTGCATATTTTATATTTATTTCCTTTTCACTGCAATGCATGAATTTTATTATATCTCCTCTCTTATTCAAAATATTAATATAAGTCTGTAAACTGCCAGTAATTCATTATACTGCAGCCAAATTTTATTAATGAAAATGCTAATAGTTAAACCTGGACATTAAATGAAGTAGTCTTTAAGTGTTTGTTATCATTAGTAAAAGTTTATGGAAAGATAATGAATGCACTTTTGTTTTTTTAATAATACTGCATGAATTGCTTTAGATATAAAAATAAAGCATGTGTTTTAATAAAAATCTGAAGTTAGACATCACTGTCCTTTCTTTTCACGCTTTTAAAATTCACTGAATAATGCGCTCTTTGTTTTGTTATCTTCTTCCTTTATGCTGAAATAGCTTTGTGATGATGTTTCCTGTTAAAATTTCGTAAATTTAAAGGACTACTATTTACGAATCTTCATTGTAGAATGAGGGTGATGTCCTTGAGGCTGACAGCAGCTGTGCCTTAGATAACTTATAGTTTGTAACTTATTATATAGACTATGCATTTTATATTAAGATAAGGCATTTTGCTATTACAGACTTGTTTACAAATTTAAATTTTAAAAAAAAAGTATGGGGAGTTCTTGCATATTGAATAGAGGAAAGGTTTTTCTCTATAACCCCCCTTGGCCGAGTTCTTTCAGGCTAAGTATTTGAAATTCTGATTGTAAAAGCGTTTATATATGGTAATCTGTGCTTTTTAAAAACCTCATTTTGTAAACAAATTAAGAAAGAAATTCTATTTATTTTATATCTCAAATATAGGAATATGCTGAACTTTTGTGTTTAACTTCACCATCAAATGGGTCTCTGAACAAAATAGTGCTGTTTCAGACTATCTCATTTGTACTGATTCTCATTCATCCTTGGAGATCTTAAAATGTATTTCCTCTTCGAATAATATCATTATCAAGATTAAAAAAGAACTGAAAAACCTAAAAGATAAAAATATTTCGGTTGCATTTTCATTTGTTCGAGGTCATACAGGTATTGTTGGCAAAGAAGGAGCCGATTTCCTTGCTAAGGCAGCGACTAAGTGGGAAATTTACACTTTTGTCAATATCCCTAATTCCTTTTATAAGAAGGTCATGTATGAAAGTATCGTAGAGTCGTGAAACCACGAATTCATTAATTCAAATAAAGGAAGCTTAAAATAAGAGATTTTTCCCTTCTATCAAGATGAGATTGTCATATCATCACTTCTTCTCAAACTGTAAATTAACCCAGTTTCGTACTGGCCATGGACATTTCAAGTTATTTGAATAGATTTAAGTTGAACTCCGAGTCTGTCTGTGATTGTAGCCTCAGTGGAGAGGAGAATGTTGAACATGTGCTTCTTCTATGTCCTAAATAAAAGAATGAAAGAAAAGTCTTAAAACTGGAACTGAAAAATTTTAATATTAACTGGCCTCCAGAATTTTACCAATTTATTTCCGAGAGAAGTGCTTTTAACACTTTTTGTCAGTTCATTGTGAAACTTTGTAATCATCCTTAATTTTAATTCAGTTTTTTCCTCTGTTTATTTTGTATTGTGTTTCATACTTACTGCTGTAAGCCCCATGTGATACTATGGGGAACTTATTGTGTTTCTTTAATAAAAAAAATATACAGTCAAAAGTCGTTAATCCGGACTTGTCGGGACTTCGGCGATTCCGGATTATTGATTTTTCCGGTTTATAGATCATCAGTTTAAATCTGGTAAGATGGCAGGCAGAAATTACAAAATTAAAAATATGAAACCGTAATTTATGAAATAAAGAACAATTATGATCTAAAGGGTATCAAAATTTACAAAAAAAAAAAAAAAAAAAAAAAAAGTTTTAATATTTATTTGTTTACTTTCTTCGCTATCGGAAGCGAATTATAATGATGAGGAATTTGATTTAAATCATATCAAAGACGAGTACATCGAGATGAAATACATTTAGTAAGGAATTATAAGCCAAATAAGATAAAAACATCTGCCCTGAAGATTAGGATAGTGCTGACAGGTCAACTTCCAATTCATTGCGCGCCGCAGCGTCCTCCCCCCGCAGAGCAGCGTAAAATTGATAAACAGATTTCAGAATGGTTAGATAAACAAAGGATATGTCTTTATCCATTTTTTGCAGCAATTCCACTTTTTGTTTGATGGACTTTGAAACATACTTTTGCTTTGTAGACCCTTTACATATTAGTAAATATATATCAGAAATTCTATTTGACATAATCGAAAGTTCAAACTTACTTTTATGAAATTGCTCTAACAGTCTGCAAAATATAATAAGCCAGATCCAATTCGAAGATTAAGGAACAACGCAATCTGCAACATTAACTGAATTAGATAATTTTAGCTTAGCTTATACTGTCTGTTACACATTAAACGCACACGCGTAAACATATTTTGGGCATGCGCACACGCATATTCGCAGCCGTAAAGGTCTTACGCGCATGCGCAGAAAGTTTGTATCTTTGAGGTCCGGATTATAGGTCATTCCGGATTATGGGTGTCCGAATCAACGACTTTTGACTGTATATATATATGAATATTGGAGGTACAAAACTAAAATTCAATTAACCCGCGAGCACACGCAACGGGTATGTCATACCCATGTGCATTTTTCGGTTGATCTTTACAATATGGTAACTGGTAGTTTGGCGACATTTTGGAGGCAATAAAGGTTACTACCTGGGACTTTGGTAATAATGTGAGCAGTACTCAGTTCTGATTACGCATTATTTTGTGTGAGGGAAATGAGAGATCATGGGATATGTCATGTGATATTAATGAACGAATTACGGTTCTTTAATCGGAAAAGGGGGGAAGTCGGGAAAAAATCTGGAAATTTTTTATTTGTCTTTATTCTGTGTTGTGTGAAACAGTGTTCGTGAATTTTTGGATCCCATGGCCGTAACTAAAGTGAATTCGAAATGGGTATTTAGTGGTATTGAAAAGGGTAGTAATAAATGTTTCTTTAAGGTTGTGCGAGATAGAAATAAAGATGTTTTATTAAGTTATTTATTTTACCTGGTACCTTGCTGTGAAATATAAGTATGATTTTAAAGATCCTGAAACAGAAATAAGAAAAGTTTATCGGACACGTAATCAAGATTCTGAAGAAGATTAGGTAAGTTAGTATTTTTAATTATTTGAGGATATTATTTTTATGCATTGTTCTAAATGTAAGGTGGAAGTAAAGGAATTTGGTATTATTGGGAAAATTGTTATTAGCAATGATTTAGTTTAAAGTAATTAGGATTGTAAGGTAATTTTTATTAATTTAATGTATGTGCTCATTTATATTTTAAGTAGTGTTTTTGAATTTGATAGTTATTTTGTGAATTTTATGTTTGTAGGAATTTGGTATATGTTTAAGTTGAAGTAAACGTGCATGGAAATAATTTAAATATTTGATACTAAGTATTTGTAATGCTTGCGGTATGAATTCGTTGGTGACATGTATAATGTAATAGATGATTTAGAGGTAAAAAGTTTTTGGATATTTTATTTATTTATATGTGGAAATGTTCATATTTGGAAAGGGTAAAATACTTTTTTGCGATCAGGTAATTTCATATATGTTCTTTTTACCGCGTTTAAAGATTGAGAAAATTGTCATGTATTTTCGTGAAATTTTTCTAATTTATGAGAAAAAAGCAGTGTACATGGATATAGTGAAGAGTGTGCGCAATGCCATTTTTGTGCAATTCTGGGATGTTTTTTTTAAGTAAAAATAAGTCGGTGTGTACATGGTTTATGTGTATGTGTTATTTTGAAAAACGCGTAAGGAGTATGGTATTGTGCACTTTTCCCCAATTTTACAGTGAATATTTGTCATGATTAAGCAGTTTTGTTAGATAAAATTTCTAGCATAAGTGTAATTCGGCTAGTAGATTGTTGGTAGAAGTGTTCAGTAGATAAAAAGAAAAGAAACATGTCTTTACTTCGTGAAGACAAAATGGCGGCGGGGAAAAAAAATAGAGGGCTGCTGTAGGAGAGTTGGTCACCAAATTTTCGCCAAAAAATTGCCAAGTTACCATAATGTAAAGATCAACCCATTTTTCTTTTTGTATATTTCTCACCCATTCTTTCACAAAATGACGAAACTTGGTGTAGCTGAGTTCAAGGTCACATACTTAAATGGGAGAAATTCCTGAGGTGACAGGTGCAACGGTTTTTTAGGAACAGCATTGTTCGGGCATGTCATATCCGAGCCTGTACTCGCGTTTCTCAGTGAGTCACTTCGCACTTCTTGTTTTCAAGCTTTTAGTATAGGTTTTTCTTGAGTTGTAAGCATGGCGTTGTATATTCCTTACGATGAAGAGATGAAAAGATTGAGAAATCTTCTTGAAACAGTTTCTTCTGATGAGGATTCATTTAGTGAAGACGATGAAGATGTTGATGACGAAGAATATTAATAGTAATCATGATTCATCCATAGAGAGTAGTGATTCAGATACAGAAACAGAAAATGAAACTTTGGAATGTAGCAATGGGTTTTATGTTGGAAAAAATAGAGTAAAATGGAACAAAAATAAATTCTGGACTAATGTTAGAATTGGCGCCAAAAATATTATAACTAAACTCCCATGGAATACGAAGTATTCTAAAGACGTCTCAACACCTTTAGATTCCTGGTCACTGCTTATCGAATGAAGATAGGTTAAAACATGTAGTTCGACAATACAAATATTTATATTGATTCAGTACGTGGAAATTTCACTCGTGAACGGGATGCAAAAGTGACAATGAGTTGGAAATCAAAGCTTTAATTGGATTGCTGTATTTATGTGGAGTTTATAAATCATCCCATGTGAACGTAAGA